TCTTCTGCAGACTTCCAGCAACTAGCCCAGAGGGTCTTCAGCAAATGTTAATTGAATAAAATCAGAGATCAATGTTTGGAAATATGGTCATTCTAATATTTTATTTCAATGTGTACACTGAGATTTATTTTAAATTTATTAGATATAACAGAAAACAAATATTGCCTTTGCTGTTTTCAACAAAAATGAAGAGATTTTTAAGGGAATGGGACAGCTGTGCTTACACTGGCTCTCAATTTGGCCTTTATTAGAAACTAACTGGTTATTTACCCGGGAGTCTGTGCTTGGACTATCTCAATGAGTGCAACAAATAGTTCATTCAATAGTAACCCAAATTTGGATATATTTACCTTAATGAACAAGCAAGTGATCATGATTTGTTTCATTTTCTTTAACTACAACACAGGAAATTTATCTGGAAGTATTTCCTTTTGGGCAGGCAATTTGTATGGATGTATTTATTAAGCACAGTCAGGATGAATCAGACTAGAAGGCTCAATGTTTACAGATGAAAATAGTTACATGAGTAAAGCAATGAAAGGAGTAGGGGAGGCAGCTTGTTGATATCTGGAGATTATTAATGTTAGACCTGGCAACCAAAGACGTTTATGGAATCTCTGTTTCTAAGGATCTTTTGGGCAAGTCACTTCACCACTTTATGCTTTAGTTTACTCATCTGTAAAATGGGAAAAATATAGGAGCAGCTTCATAAGTCACTGTAGGAAGTCAATGGGATAACAAATGTTAAACACCTAAATGAAATAATGCATATAAAAGGTTATTGGGGTCATTCAATAAATGTGAATAATGTCCACCAATTCCTGTAAATATCTTGGTGATGTTGAAATGGAGTTCTGATAAAGCATAAGCTGCATTCGTTTTTCAGTTATTACAGCAACTCAATTAAAAAGTTATTCTACAGCCATTTCCCCAAAGATTTATCTTATTCCTCAGACCACAATAATAAAGCATGTTTGGCTTTAGAAAAGCTCAAGATACATTGTTTCTCTACCTGAAAGATTGATAAATGGTCTGTCTTGTATTGTGCTCCTAATGCTTTCTTGTATTATCAAAAAAGGATCATCAGCATAATAAATGAGTATTATGTAATGCTGCTTGTAAACCCCAGATGATTATGCTATATAGTACTTTATAGTCTAAGAATTTTCCATACATCAACTACTTTATTTCTGACATAACCCTAATGAAGGTGATTTTATTATTTCCATTTTGTACATAAGGGATCAGAAATTCAGAGAAATGAATTAACCAACCTAAAGTTATAAAACTTTCAGTGGCAGATGGGAGCTAAATCTTGGTCTTACTGCAAATTTACATCATTGCATCACCTTTGTTCTCTTGGCCTGTAAAAGTGTGGTTTAGCAGAGCATTGGTGAGGTCTTCTCTGGATAGACAGGTAATTTGGACATGGTTTGCTGATTTCCTATTGGGGATATAGATCAATTTTTGTAGTGTTCTCTATATTGGTCTATGCTTTGTCTTATTTTATAACATGTGAGCATTGTGTTTATTCCTCCCTGGTGAGTCAACAGAAAAATAAAACCAACCAAACAAATAACAGATTACTACTGTTTTTCATAATTCACCACATTATAATTTTAATAAAGATGTAGGTACTTTTTCACTTAAGCTTTTGAACTTCTCATAGAATATAAAAGACATATTATTTTAGGTTTTAATAGGATCAATGATTCTATAACTAAATACACAATACACTATTTTTGTATCACTTAGTTCTTTGAGATTTGTTTCAGACAACTCAGTATTGCCTTTTAATTTTTGAGATATTCTTAATACAACCACAGTTTCCTATTCTACTAATTCCAGTTTTGTTAATTGTCTATAAGCTGTTCTTTATCATTCAGAGTTTTTTTAATGCATATGAAATGTCGGCTATTAAAATGTTTAGCTTTGACTAACAAATAACTCAATTATATTATTATCACAGAAGTAGGCTTCAAAATATCCTTACTGATGCTACATACTTTGAAATTTTGTTGCCATAAATTCCACAAGTCATTACTCTTGCTTAGAGTGGGATTTTCTATCATTTTAATATTGAAATGTAAAAACTATTCTCATAAATTTCAACACTCAGCATGACATTTGAGTCATAATAAGCTTATGTATTACTATCAAGATTCCCAACAAACTTAAACAGAGATGGAAGTCTTTCACATAGATAAGTATCAAAGTCAGAATCCAATAGTTCTGTACTAAAAATCTTCTTTGTATGTTGAAATCATAACCATATTCATTTTAAACTTTGCCCAATATCACTGTGATAAATATTAAAGCCCTTTCGTCTCTAGAACTAAATCACTTAAACACTAGGGTAAGCTAACAAATTTCTGGCATGATTGTGATGCTTTATTTTTTCCAATGTTGTTGAAGTGCTTACTATTACTCAATAAATTTAAATTCTCAAGTTGCACTTAGCAAGTCATCAGTGAGGTTCTAGTTTCCGTATTGAAAAAAGACCTTTTAGTCTTTATTCTCTTCACCTTTTTGCAACGTTTGCAGTTATATTTTTCTACCATTCAAAACTCTCATCTCATGGTTTTCTTAATGACAGAGTCTTTTTCTCCTCCAACTCTGTACATACCCTACTTTTTTCTCCCTCTGCACTTTTCTTAGGCCCTACTTACACTCATCTCACCCTCAAATTGTCCTCCAAGTTCAGTCGTGTCTATATCCTAGAGGTCTAATAAATCCTTCCCGCCCTTAATATCCACTGCCACAGTTCAAGACTTCAACATTTCTGAGTTTATGACTACGATGTCATCCTTACTGATTTTACTGACCTTACTCCTGGCCTGCTTACTTCATCACCTACAACTCTAATCGGGTGATCTAAAAAAAAACAAAAAACAAATGGGGTTTTAAACCTTACAAAGTGGACAACTCCATTACAAAAGCATCCATAGTCCTTCACGCTCTCCTTTCTTTCCATTCCTTCATGAGAACCTATGTTGCATTTTCTTCATCATACTCTTTCTGTTCCGTGGTCTGCACATGCTGTTCCTTCTGTCTACAATGATCTTGCTCGCACTGGTTTTTGTTGCTACTCCAATATTCTCCTGGTTAGCTGTCACTCACCAGAACCAATACAACATGGACATCCCTTTCTTCAGAGAGCCTTTCCTGACCAACTCTCACCCACAGCTGTGGTCCCACAGCACCTGGCAGAGAACTGTTGACAAATGTGATCCCTTTTCCTCCTAGGAACTACACTTTCCAACCTCCCTCGCAGTTGTTGTAGCTACACGGCCATGACCTGACCCAAAAAAATGTTCCTAGAACTGCTTTATGGTCTTTCCCTTCCATAGTTCAATACAAATGAACATGATGACATAGAAAACCATGAATTGAAGATGAAAGAGGCACTCTATGGTAGAATGCTTGGTCTCTGAACCATCACTTGAAAAAAGTCTCTGGCTGATTAAGAATACTGTTTTGAACTTTGCATAATTGAGATACCAACCCTTATTGCCACAGTAAGTGTACATATTACACTCTGCACATTCTGCTGCAGATAGCTACTTCCCTTCATTATTAATCTGGGAGTTTCTTAGGAGATCTTAATATACCATGTTGTATATAGTTACTACTCAATAAATGTTTCTGAGTTAATAATTGAGAGTGAATAAAAATGCTTTAGGGACAGAAAGTAGAGAATGCATCAGATGAGGCATTTTCAATCAAGTTGTCATATTTGATGTCTAAAGTTAGCTTGACTTGGTAAAATGTTACAGTTTTCACAAGATAATTCATTAACTACTTTCTTTAGAAGTTTATGTTTCGCTGAATTATGTATCTGGGAGATACAGATACATGTTTGTGGTATGGGAATTTTCTATATTTTATATTGATACATTCTCTTGGATAGTTCAGTTTTGTCCTCAATTTACTGGTACATAACAGATTTTAAGAAGTCAATGACAATGCTGTAATTCTTCATTTACTCTTCTTGATAATCTGTCTTTTATTCAGTAGGATGGCTATTAGTTTTCCACAAAGGCGATGTAATTCTCCTATGACTGCTACTGTTAAGTATAGTAGTCATCCTTTTTCTGAGATTTCACTTCTGCAGTTTCAATTACTGTGGTGAACTGCAGCCCAAGCATAGGTGAGTAGAGTGAATAAGATGTTTTTGTTTGTTTGTTTCAAATTGTTTTTATTTTTCATGAATACATAATAGATGCATATATTTATGAGACATATGAGATATTATGATACAGGTATACAATATGTAATAATCACTGAAGGGTAAATGGGGCACCCATTGCCCCAAGAATTTACCATGTCTTATTTGATTGTTGAGTTCTTCATATTTTGTATGGTAAATAAAATTTGCTCTTATATATGTATTGATTGATTATTAAAATATAGTGGATTTCTTTTTTGAATAGGGAGTTATAACATTTTTATTTTATAATTTATTTTTTGCATTAAGGTTTTAATGGATTTTCATCATTTTATGTTTTAAAAAAGATCACATTCACATAAATTTTCTTATACTATATGTTGATAATTATTCCATTTAATTTTGTTGTTAATCTCTTGTGTGCCCAATTTATAAATTAAATGTTATCATATGTATATATATATATGTATAAGAAAAAGATAGTATATATAGGGTTCAGTATTATCTGCAGTTTTAGCATCCACTGAGGGGTCTTGGAAAGTATCTCTCATGAATAAGGGTAATCTACTGGACTTTGGTCTGTGGTTTTGCATTACAAAGGAACCATGGTAGGTGAGACAAACTTGTAAGCAATAATTAAATTAGGTGATTGGTTTTGAGTAGGCAGTAATCAAATTTCAAAGTTCAAATTATGAATACACAGTGATCACTCACTATGTAGTCTAATAAAAAGGTATAATATTGACTCTTAGAATGAACCACCCCTTATATAATTATATGAGACTATAAAAGTGGGTAAAACCTACCAGCTGTGTGAGGAAAGGAACAGTTCTCCACTTGATTATTTATGCCTGTGTAACATCAGAAACAAGATGTCAATTTCCATGAGGAAAGGTAAGCATATCTTTTCTTCAATATCTTGTAACTTTACAATTTTTAAAGGATAGTGCATGTAATTCACAGAATGAGTCCAGGTTTCTGATTTATAAAATAATTATTACACTAACATATACTTCAGAATGCTAGTTTGGGTTTCAACTGTAAAAAAAAATAAGTTCTCATTTATACTTAATGTTATTTAGTTTCAATGTGACATAGTTACCACCATGAATTACATGAAATAAAAACTTTCTTATACATCTAATTTTATTTGAATTTTTTGAGCTATGGTTTTCTAGAATTCATTGAGAAACTTATGACTTAGAATCTTAAAAGGGTATTCCCTAGACTGGGATAAATTAATATATTTTTGAAATAGTCAAACTAGAATGTCTTTATAGATGGAAGACAAACTTTAAACTAAAGACATTGTGTTCGCTACCTAAAATAAATACAATATTTTATATAATAAAATTGCTCAGTATTCTAAAAGTTCCACATATAACAAAATTATTAAAATAAATTGCAAAGATTCTTCATGAGATAAGAGCTTTGTTTCGTGGTCTTATTGTTGCAGTGTGAAATGATTTGGGTATAAATTAAGTACATAGCAAGAAAAGTTGCACCATAAAGGATTTTTATAATCAATAAGTACCTTAAATTGTACTTCCAAGTCCTATAAAGTATTATTTGTACTTGGAGAAATCTATCATCTCTCTAATTCAGTGGCAGATATCATGAAAACATATTTTAAATTTAGGCCACTGCTTCAAGTTAAATAGTTAGAATTAAAAAGTCACAACAGAAAAATTAACTTCATCATCTGATTAAGTTAAGTAACAAAATATGTGCACACAGGAATTTAATACAAATAAGATACATGTATATATCTTGTTTTATTCTAAAACTTGAAATACTATTTGCTCTAACACAAATGAATCTTAGCAAGATTTCCCTTGTCTGGAGGCCAACTTAATTAGCTTTTTTTATATCTCACATTTTAAATAATCTTATCAGATTTGGCTTTTCATTAACTGCCTCAACAATCACTCTAGACCACGGTTGCCAAGAGTCCGGGGAATGATGCTGCTTTGGGTAACCTGTGTACATCAGTTCCTGTTCCGGGAAGTAGAAGGAGCAAGATATGTTTAGGTTTCTCTGATTCCCAGTAAAAAAGAGCATTTCACAGATGTCAAAGTGGTGTGTGGGTGTGGGTGTGTAATTTATCTTACTGCTTATCCATATTAAACAGATTTTCCATCTGGAACTCAGTTGTCACCAAACTAAAGACATGGCTTGATGAGTAGTAGACTCAATGAACATTAGTTCCTTCCTCCCAGACCCAATACTTTTCTAATGTCATTCAAATATTTCAAGACAAGCTACAAAGTTCTTTTCTTCTTTCCATATGATTTGGAAGAAACAGAGTAGAAGTTTTTAATTACAAAGAAACTAGGAGAAAGCAATTGGATTGAGATTGTTGTCTAAACACACATATCTACCTTTGTTCCCATCTGAAATCCTATAAAATTCAAATAAAAAGTAAATCCAAAACAGGGTGGAAAAAAAAAAAAAAAAGAATACCACCAACAGACTAGAAATGTTAAAGGATTCTGGAAAGATGGACAGTAGATAGAATCGAATATACAAAGTTATTAAAATGAAGCAAAGCATGAACTAAACACAGCTAAAAGAATGCTGTGATGGAAAGAGTGAAGGAGGAGCCCTGACACAAAGTCAGTTGCTACAAGATACAAAGACATCGATAGCTTCAAGCATACATCAGCAAAGTTATTAACTGAGGAATGAAGGTGAGAGCTAGGCTGGCAAGCACCACTCCCCTCTCTGATCTGCACTAAGCAACAGGAAGCAAAAGTGTCTGCCTATAGGCTAAGGGAGAGTGTGGCAAGTGGGCCCTGAGGCAGAGCATTGCTCCAGGGAGGACAAGGAGATGCTGTTCCTAGAATGGGAGCTGAGGCACATTGTGCCCTCCTAGCAGCACAGCCAGCCTCTGTCATCAGAGGTCATCATCACCTTGGTGACTAGAGGAGGCAAGTGGGCAGAGATACTAAAACACAAAAAATGAGCAGAAGGAGATTATTGAATATTACAAGGAACTAACACTATTATAATGAGAAAATAAGGTTAATAGGACAAGCAAAGCAGGACTTTAGAATAAAATAATATTAAAAATGTGAGAATATATTACATCGACAGAGACTCAATTGGAGACTTGAAATATAAATAACTTCATTAATTTATATATATACATATATATACATATTTGATAGAGCCATATAACTGAAAAACAAAACAGTGAGCTATAAGATAAAAGAATATTCCCATAACACAATGTAAAAGGACAAAGAAGAAAAAGATGTTAATGCTAAGCTTAAGATACAAGGAAATGGGTTAAGAAATTTTAATATGCATTCAGAAAAATCAAACAGAAAATGGAAAGTATAGAAGCATCTATATATTTAGCTAGAAACAGACATTCAACATCAATTCTTTTTTTTTTTTTTTTTTTTTTTTTTTGCCAATAGCATACTTCAGTTTCCTTCAGGGCAATGGAAACTATCCTTCTCCCATTTTCAATCCATTTTCAGTTTACTCAAATCCAATTTGGGTAAAGCTGGCTCCATGCCTGGCTTCAACAGAGGGCATGAATCTCAGGTCTGGATAATCAAATTATTGTTTTTCTGGCTATGGTGACTAGCTAAGAAATTGAATTCATAACCCAATTAGAGCCAGTCATACACCATAGAATTTCATAGAGCTGGTAGTAAATTCAGTGATCATACCACTGGAAAGAAACTTGGAATTTCAGCCTGAGGCTGAGATAGCTATAGAGGTGAGCTTTCAAAGAAGGAGTAAAATTTCTTCCTATAAAAAAAAGACATTAAGAGAAAGAGAAAAACAGCTTTAATGACAATAAGTCCCTGGATAAAGTTTGGTCTTAAATTAGTACCACCATAGGTTATTTTAGTACTGGGATCAATTAATTTCTCTTTAAGTTAAGTCATTTTAGTTGTGTTTTTCTATCACTTGCCATGAAAAGATGCCTGAGATATGCAGAAATAAATGATACTACTAATATAATGAAATAAAATTTCCCAAAGCCAAAGACAGTTAATTACTAGATCGAAATGATATTTCCAAATAATTGTTTTAGAGTATAGAACAAGGTAAACAATAGAAGATCTTTATTGAGTTGCATAGTGGTGATATTTCAGAACACCAAGAAGAATGATAAAAATCCTAAAAGATTCTAGAGAAAATGAAATAACTTACAAAGAAATGAATTAGAAACAGATTGATATCACACTTACTCTGAAAAGTGGATATTAAAAAGTAACATCAAAATCTTCCAATTTTTGAAAGAAAACAACTTTGAAAGAATTTTGTATCTATTTAAACAATCATTTAATAGGAGACCAAAATAAGGACAAATTCATTACAGCCAAGAACATGCAAAAACTTAAAAATTTTAGTACCAACTTCTGGAATAATTATGTGTGTACAGAATACAATAAAACTAATATGAATACAAAGCAAAGAATGGTACAAAAATACAGAATATATAAATATGGAAGGGAAAAGTGATCAAGGAAGATCTAAGCTTATTACATTTTAAATGAGGAAGATATAGACAATGCTTAACTCTTGAATTTGACAAAAATCTTAAGTGTGATTGTTAAAATTAAGAAAAATCATAAGAAAAAGTAGAATGTGCATTCCCCAAACCAGTAAAGGTTAAAAGAAAATGCACAAGGTAAACCTAACCAGGAAGAAGAAATAAAGCAATAAAAAGAAAACAAGTAAATTTTAAAAAGTTATATAAAAAGAACAAATACAAATGTATCCATGATCACAATAAATATAAGTAAATTAAACTTCCCAAATTAAAAAAAAAGAGCCTTTCAGATTGAGTTAAAAACAAAACAAAATCAACTCTAAGTTGTTTACATGAGACACATCTAAAGGGAAAAATAAAGTACAGATAGATGTTGAAAATAAGAAAAAAAATGTTAGAAAATCAGCAACAAACAGAAAGATGGTATGGCAGTATTAATAACTGGTAAAAATGAAATTCAAGAATAAAAACATTAAAGAAGATAAATATATATTTCATATTGATTAGATTATAATTCACCAAGGTATGAACTTAACAACATTGTTATGAACATTTATGTACTAAAAACATAATATAGGTATGTCAATAAATAACTGATTATATACATAACTAAACTATCGATTCCTTAACTATAGTGGAATCCCTTACCATAGATATTTGCATATCAAATTAACAAAAAATAGTGAGGTAGAAGACTTGAAGAACAACTGATAAAATTTATCTAATGAATTTATGTAAAATTTTATATTAAAAATTACTACCTTAAAAGGAACTTCAGCCATATATTGGACCATAGAATCTTAACAAATTACTAAAAAGGGTAGGCAATATAAGATAACTGAGCACTATCAATAAAATCACAAATTAACAAGAAAAAGTTAGTTTAAAAAGTCCCTAGTCATTGAAAATTTAAAACATCATTTTCAATGTTTGTATTGAAAAGGAAATTATAATCCAAATGTTAGAGTTAGTAAGAAATAACTTTTAACAGCATGATTTTCAACACTGATAAGACAACAAAAGTGATTCTCAAATGACATTTTATCACTTTAAGTGCACATATAAAATAATATAAGAAGGATCAAATTAAGAAAATTTTTAGAAAAACTTCAAAATCAATTCTCAAATAATTTCACATGAAAAAGAAGCTAAATAGCAAGGATAAAAGCAGAAAAAATTTCATAAGAAACAAAAAAATAGGAAATATAATTACTAAAACCAAATGTTGTTTCTTTAAAAAATGAAATCTCTGAGAAATAAGGAAAGAAAAACCTTACAAATCACAAATAAACATTAGAAGCAAGATGGGGAACCACAAACATAGGAAAGATTTAGAAATTTATGAAGATACTATGAATACCAATATATTTTTTAAAAT